TGAATTAGTGGCAAATCTACCGCAAAAAAAAAACCGCAGAAATTCATTGCACCTTCAAAAGCGTCATTATGACTTTCAAGTAACGAACTTCTAAGATGAATTTCTTCATTATGTGTGAATTTGGGGGCTCCAATAGGAAATCCGAGAGAAGCTAAATCAACCATGAATAGTTTCAGTGTTAACAACACTATTTAAGAGATGAATATAGCACCCCAAAAAAAGTTTGTAGCAAACAGAACCTTCAGCGATTGCCTTCTCGTCACATAATTTGAAGATGTCAAAAGTCTTTCATATACATCAAAGAACTGAAATAACCACGAATATTCCATCAACAAAAGGAGGAGAAGTGTTCATAATGTATATTTAATTTCGTCATAGGATTTATCACCGAGAAATGCTTCTCATGTTTTCATCTAAACTTGTAAGAGATGCGGAAGCAAACCTCACTGTAATGAGAGGTGAGAAAGTCGGAGACGACTGACTCATGTTTTGTGAGAAGATCCTGCAAGAGAGGTAAGCAAGTGATGAATAAATTAGCAAAACCTGACACAAGCCCAAGTCAATGTATGTAGTGAAAAAATCACCTTGAATGTTGAAAATGCATCAGAAGCAACATCAAAGTTTGGCAATTCCACAAACTTGAAGAATAACTCAAAACAGGCAGACTCTAAAACATACCTGAAAAGGCACTACAAAAATTTAACCGTGTGAAAAACAAAAACAAAAATTCTCGACCATTGCGCAACAGCGAACTCAGTAAAACTCCTTTGCAATCACATTGGAAACCTTGAAAAGAAAAAGCAAGATATCAAGTTTGTCTTACTTAGCAAGACTTGGGAATTTTATGCATTCCCTAAGCATACTTCCAGAGTGCAGAGCAATCTCCTTGTTGTCATAGCTGCTCATAAACAGTGAATTCTCGGTACGTCTCAAGAGGTAAGAGACAAACCAACTACAGAAAAATTCAGCCAGATAAAAGAAAGAAAAAAAATAAATTCTGTACAATATTTACCACACAACCAAAGAGTCGAGCAACTCGAAATGTTCTTCAAAGTATTGCACGCAGCAATAGGTCTCGCTGACTTGTTGTTTCAACAAGATAGACCAGCAATGCAGTAAATCTTTTCTTGCCTGCAACATTACACAGCGAGTTCATAATAGTTTTTTTTTCTACTAAAACACACAAAGGGAACCAAACTGAAGCCTCTCACTTACTTCCCATCCCAAAATATGTAGCTTATGAATAACAAGAGAGATAACATCTTCTTTGCAAAATTCTAATGCTAACTGTACAGCTTGATCAGCATTTGGTTCAGCCTCACCATCTCCAGAAAGCATTCCTCTCAGAGAAGAAAAATTCTTCTCAACTTCTTCCAGAGCCTAACAAATCACAGAACAACAGATTAGTTTTGCCCAAATTTCAGCTGAAAAACAGACAATCTTCAGCATTTCAGGTGAACCAAAGTAAACAATCGATCTTTCGAGTGAATGAAACCAAATCAGTAAAACCCATGTAAGAAAATTCAGCAGCCAGCCGTAAAGGTACACACTTTTATACAAGGAAATTGTTATAAAGAAAAGGCCTTTAAGAGGAACCTTCTCGAGGGCTTTAACTTCGACGACGGTTTTGGTGTCGAGAGCCATGAGACTGTCTCTGATCGCCTTAACGACCTCTTGAGGCGTTTTAGGCCTCGATGGTTTGAAGAAGGAGAAGGACATGAGATCAGATTTGGATTCTCTCTTCGGATTCTGAGCTCACCAACGGAATCGTGGATCGGAGACTCATTCAAGGAAGAAAGGGCGACACTTTTGCTTTCTTCTATCCCTCGTCTCGCCTCGATTCGCTACCCAAAGCAGATCGTTAAATCATATGCACATTTTTTGATAAAGATGTGAGAGCATTTTGATTTGACCAAACGAAAAATGAATAAGTGCCATTAAAGTCTATAGTGGCAAACAATTTCACTTCTAATCTTGTCTTTAATCATTTTATTCTTTTTATGTAAAAGTAATACTATCGGTGTGGGAAAACGTACAAATTGCCTCCCATAACTTTCATATAATTTCAGACAGACCCATAATTTTGACCCCGAACAATTTTTCCATGTATAAAAGTTACATTCCACTTTCCCCACAAAATGGAAGATCGAAGGATTATATACCCCTAATTATCGGTTTTATCGGTTTATAACATAACCAGACCATAAATCAAACAAATCTGTGAATATACCGAATTAGAAACCCGAATGGAATTTAAATCTGACTCGTGTAAAACCGAAGACCCATAATTTAAAATCCATTTTTATGCTTAAAAAGGTAAATTTCTCAATCTCTTTGAAACGAAAAACACGAAAAACCCTAACTCAAAATTTCTTAAATCAAAATTTTTCAAGGCAATGTAAGTTTATAATTGAGGGCATAAAGTGATTTTATTCTTCATTTTCATGTATTGTTGATGAGAATTTCTTTAGCATGCAAACTTATCAAATAAAATTCTAGCAAGCTAAGCAACCTAACTCATGATTCAATTGTAACAAGTGTAGGGTTCGAACACAAGGAAGACTAGGATTTAGAATACCAAACCATGGAGTATGTATGTTAAGTTGAAGCATAAGAAGAGGTTGGATTGTGTGTACTAATCTAAATCAAAACATAATAGCAAGACAAATAAACAAGGGCTGGATTTAAATGCAATGATATGGAGAGAATTGAGCAACGGGTTAGCAACTGATAAAGGGGGAATAAATCGTGGCTAATAAAGCTAAGGACTTTGAGTTGAAGGTTCAATTTACAAGCATGGAGCACAGACTCAAATTAGTCCAATACTTTGTTCAGTACTTAGATCTAACTAACTTTCGCTGCTAGATTAAGATACTCTCCAAACATAACCGATCAAGTCCAATAATCTCACTTAGCGCCTTTGTAACGCCTCCGATCATTTATAGACCGGAAACGCTACTGACGAATACTTAGATGTCCGGTCAGAGGTTCCTGGAACATATCCAAATTCCCTAGACAAGACTTCTAAGCGTTCGTCCCCATTAGATACATCTCAAGGCTTGCCAACCCGAGACATACGCAATGGTTAGTTCGTCCGGACAAGGACTAGTATCATCTGAAACCCGAATTTATGCAAACTCGATTTTTTTAAATATAATATATATAAGTTTTAAACGTGATACAAGCATATACAATTGTGAGTCTAACACTCCAAAATGATCATGTACATAATAAACATTATTCGTTTACAAAAGGCAAGGAAATCTACTGCTGAATTTCCTAACGTTCCTTTGGCCCCGGTGGTCTACCCGCTAATGGTTACCTGCAACACAAGTAGAGTCGTGAGCACTAGTTGCTCAGTGAGTCTAGGCTCCCCTAACATTCAATAATCAATTCCCAACCAAACCCAAAATAACAATCAACACGCTAGCAAGCAAATCTAACAAAAGAAATGCGATAAGTTATGCAATATCAATATAAGGCCTTTCGCGTAGACTATTTCCCTCCACGTCAAATCACAAGGTATCCATCAGCCCGAAGCCACAAAGGCTAAAGACTTAAGATCCTTCACCGTTCTAATGGCCTTATGTATATAAGGATCCGCACCAAAAATTTTGCATCGTCATGCAGTACACGGCCAAAGGCTGCAATCCCGTCTCTCCGTGTCTTCATGTACTTAGACTAATACTCAACGTACTAGCTAAGTCATGGCTTTCAAGGGAACGTCTTACCGCGATCATCATAATTTATAACTTTTACTAACAATTAAGTTATAAGAAAACTTATAACTTTGCATCAACAATTCAACTTAGTAATTTTCATATGCTAAAACTTTTAAGTACTTAGCAAAAATATAAACACGCAGCAACGAACCTCACTTGTAATTTAATTAAACATACAACAAGCATCACTGAGACTCACTTTTGACTTAACGAATGATCACGGTTCTGCCAAAGGTTTCTACGGGCGTTTGCCTTAGACTTTTACGAATAATTTTGCCTTAGCCTTTGGATCAGAATCTGTTCCAAAGGTTCACGAATTAACCAAGGCAGGACTTAGAGTTTTCTTAAGGGAAATTTGATGGTAAAGCCCACGGATCTTACCTAACTTGGAACTGAGCTTGCCGTGGACTATCTCTAGATTTTTTGGAGCTTAGCCAAAGTTGAACCTACGAATTTAAGATAGGTCGAGCCATCGGATCAAGAAACTAAGATTAGATTCATGATCAGCACAAAAAATCACTTTGAAAATGGTAAGGTTCGATCACGGGAAACTTACCCTAAGTTTTTCCAAACCTGCTCGACAAGGCTCGCAGCGAAACTACTCTATGGTTCGNGGTGGACTAGANAATGGNCTACTCNGTTNNGATGGACTGATCGGATGGGACGATCACGAACTAGGCTACCGTTTGCAATGAAAATTTGCGGTGAAAAGAAATTATGTTCGGACAAAGCAGAATTTCTCGTGTCCCCTGCTTACTAGGTCAGGCTGACCCTTAAATAGGCGCGCCCAAGCAGGCGAAGCAGCTGGACAGCTCACGGCCACTTGTCCATTCTTCACCCGCGGGTAACGTTCTAGGCTCGACACGAGGTGGTGATGATGCCTAAGACCAGGCGTGTGCGCAACACGCACTGGCGTGTGGTCGACACACTCGGGCACGACCTAAGCACGGGCTTACCCACGATCTACCCACGACCAGAGCAAGCACCCTGCTCGGTCACCAAGCAACCTAGCACGCTGCTTACCTTGGCTTCTGCTGG